TGTTTTAGATATAATATATTTTATGTATTCACTTAAAATAGTACTGTAGATGCAACTTTTCATAAATCTGTTGCCTTAAAATGGATAGAATGAATCACTCTAGAATTCGAATAATTAATAATTATTGAATGTATTTATTTTTATTGTATATATTTTATTGTATATGTCTCTCCCCATATGTATAAGTCCCTATTTGTATAATAAACTTCGGATCAAATATAGAAATTTGTCAAATAAGAGTCGATCACTTTCACGCGAAGCAGTACTTTTTTATCTCATTGTTTTAATTAAAAGATTAAAATCTTTCTGATATAAGAGGAGAGACTCAGTAAATACCAACGTAAGAATGACATAACATCAATGTACACAATTTCACACTCAACAATATAAATATAAATTCAATTTCACATAAAAATATAAATATAATATATATATTGTATGTAACAATTACATTGTTGAATATAAAATTATAATATTGATATTATGTTACTGTTAATTGATGTTTATTGGAGAGAAATTTAACGGCGGCCATTCATATATTTGTAATAGGCATAGCTCCAATCATCGACTATTATATATCTCACATATTTTTTCTTAAATTAGTTTTCAAACTGTTTATATAAGGCGCATAATATTATAATTTTTAAATTTCCTCCTTCCCTAGCCTCTTATAATATAATTAATGAATATTTATAAGTAAAAAGACAACACATAAAATCTAAATTGGGCATAAGACGTTTATAAGATGTCTTTTAGACGGTTCTCATAAAAATGTGTTCGAGGAGTTTTTTAAGATTGATATATTCATAGTCGCGATTCTTATATTTAAGATTGTCTTAACTGTCTTAAGTACAGTTTTAAACTGTCATAAGTCAATCAAAAGCTGTATTAGCATCTTAAGACATTACTTAAGACAGACTTTAAAATAAGAATGGACTGTGAATACCTCTTTTAGACGTCTTTAAGGCGTCTTATGTTCCAATTTTGGATTTTATGTTGTCTGGAAACCATTATATTCAATCGTACGAGCAGGCTAGCTAATCATTGGGACAAAAAACAATATAGCTATGCATAAGTAGTACATTGTTATTTACAGAATGTCTCCTCCCGTTGCTTCGCCGCGCAACCAGCGTTTATAAACGTTCTTTCCCAAACGTTTGGGTTCTTTCTAGTTACTGAATCATGTGGACGCACCCTAATTCATGGATTTTTATTGATTACTGTCTCATTAATTTTTAAGAGAATTTGGCGAAATAGTATATAATTTTCCGATTTAGTTTAATCCATTCCACTTGCCTGGTGAGAAGTAATTCACGAATTATATGACATCCTGTATATAAAGTTATTTAATTTGAGTAGGTCTATTCTTTTTCGAAGAAAATTCTGAACTGGGATACACTGATGCAATAAATTAAAGTAAAATAGATATAGTTTGTTTCACTCTAACTTATTGCATTAGTTTAGAACTAGTTCTGCATTAGTGCAGAACATTTCGAAAAAGAATAAATCTAATAATTTCCTTGATTGTGCTATTTTTTTTTTATATATCCTTATAAAACTACACAAAAATAACTTCAGTAATGATAATTATTAGCATAGGCAAAATCGTTATTTATTGAAATTTATTGAGCACAATTAGTTCTCCTTATATTTTACACAAGTAAATCTATATTAAAAGTTATTTTTGAAATTGTGTTTACATAGTGTCTTAAGTTTATTCTTTACACACACAAACACACGTGTACATATGCGTATGCTCGTATATTTGATGTATGTTTTATATTTAAATTTATTCTCTGTAATATCCACACGATGCATACTAACAATACATATCAAAGTCTTATGTTACACTGGCGCAATAATAATTATAGTTATCTGACAAAATACAGAATCTCTGATTTTGGCGCACAGCTATCGCCACTGACGTTTTATTTCCTCTCTCATTCTTTATTATTATTATTAATTATTATTCACGTTCGCGAGAATCGCGAACCTTCCTCGCTATTATTACTTTACGAAGTAATATTTAAAAATTTAGATTACAAATAGAGCGCTCCGACTTTCGTCGAAGCCATTCGAACATATTTAATCGTTGATTTTTTATCAAAGGGATAATAATCTCACCGTTTAAAGTGAACCAGAAAGCTCGCATACGTCAGAACACATCGATATTCCATATTTTCATCGCTTATTCATCGTCGTGATTTCTTCTGTTGTATTCTAAAAAATCTTATTTTTATGCAATATATACGGATCACTTTCTTCGTACAACTTAAAACTAGATAGCTATGTCTGATGCTAAACGTACGATCGAAAGAGTACGAAAAAATTATAAATAAATATATAATATTATATAAAAAATACCTCTACTCTTTATGTGTATTCTTGTTCTTTGATAATTGTGACATATCAAGTATCGGCTTATCGTTAACGGGCAGAAATTTTTTTTTACGCGGTCGCGTCTTTCTCTTTTAAATGCCGCATTCTGATGAATGTGAGATCTCTGATTCCTCTAATATCTACATCGTATAGTTTGAGACATTGAGCGAATACAGCGGAGTTTGTTAATCGATAGTGCATTATATTATTTACTATTTCGGAAAAAGTATAAAGATAAAGATTTAAGTTTAAATGCAAACAGAGACTCTCCGTATTACTTGTATCATTAAAAAAAAAAAGAAATAATATAAAAACTTCATAAAAATTGTTTGTAGATTGGTGCTATCTGGATTTGTAGAACAATACATAACGAACGTCAAGATATCACTTACAAACGACGTCCGAAAGATTAACATAGAAGGATTTTTTTTACACACTTATGCAACGCTTCTTCCACGGCTGCATTATTCGGCACTCTTTTTTTTATAATGGAGGTAAATATCAATCAGCTCATACTAAACTTGCGAACATTGTTAAATGTTACCCTTAACATAAAAGGAAAAGGAGTAGTACAAGTAGTTAACGCG